AATTACTGATAAAAGTGTAGAATAAAATTGGGTTGAGGACAGAACTTTGAGACTTGCCACTGCAGACCTCCCTCCACATTTACATTGTTTAATTAATCAAATACCCTTTGGGATTGGTCATTCAACCATTTAATTGCTGTGATATCATTTTGTCTACAGTTGTGTCATAAAAGCTTTGTAAAATCCCGATGAAACAGCCTACTTTACTGAGCTTCCATTTTAGTAACCATATCAGAAAAAGAAATGAGGTTTCAAAGTAGTATGTCCTCCAAGAATTCTCTGTTGACAATACCTAACAGAATTCCTCTGCTTGCATCCATTCAGCACCTAGACATTTGGTCAATATAAAAATGGAGAGGATTGTAGATATTGTTAATCCCTCACAGTTTATTGATGAAATGCTGGGTTTCAGAGAGGGGAAGTGACTTGTCACACCTATCTAGGAAGTTGAAGAGCTGGGACTGGAAGCCAGGTCTCCTGTCCATTGCTTTCATTGCACCATATTAATGCCTTCCATGAGGCCACTGGGTAGTTTGCTTATTAAAAATGGTAGCCTATGTGGGAACAGTGCTTTTATTCTTTTTGCCTCTGCCCTATCCCCCTTCCCAGGACCTCATCCAGTGCTCTGAACATAGTAGGTGCTCAAAAATATTTTTGACTTTTGTGCCTACTGGGAAGATGATCTCTTTAAATTCTTAAGCATTCAGCTATTCCATAAATGCACAGTTTGTCCTTTGACTACACTGTGATGCTCTGATCTTTCTTATTTTTATTTTTTTTGCTTTATGTTGGGACTGTGAAGACAGTGCCCTGACTGCAGTAAAATGAACTTCATGTTTCATTCCAAAAAATGCTAAAAATAATTTGAACAGCCACAACCTAATGAACCAAAGCTTACCAGTTAATGACTGTACATCCTGGGTATGACGTGGACACGTTTGAAGGTCAACATGGTATTGTTTAATGAACCAATACAACATGCTTCAAAATTCTGTCAAGGCAAACACCAGACACCAAACTATAAGGCTAGCATTCAGTCCCCTTGGCCCTAGTTCCTGTGGCCTTTCTTGCTTTTTCAGTACACATTAAAATAATTTGAGAAGCCCCAGAATGCTGTAAAACATCTACTATGTGCCGAGTGTTGTGTTAGGCTGTGGGGAAGATGCAAAACTTAGACAAGACATGGTCCTTCCCATCTGGATCTCACAGTCTAGTTAAGATATAAGACAGACACACTGAGAAGTAGAATACACAGTAGTACATACTTGGGATGGTGCCCTGCACACGTGTTATATGGGGGTATTATGTGTGTGTTAAGTGAATAATGAAAAACCGGAGTATGTGGTTCCGAGAGTAAAAGGGGCCGTTTTCCCCTGAGGTTAGGCTTTCCATGCTGGTGAGGAATTTGGCAGGGCTCCGAAGAGGGTTATCTAGAAAGGACATGAAGTGGTTGAATGGGATGATCTCCGAGGTCCTTTGTGGCTTTAAATCTCTCCTCCAGTCTCACTCCAGTGTAGAGATCAGTGTGAATGGAAGTTCACGGCCATTTTCTGGGGACAAAGAATAGTCTAGTTTTGTCAATGTGAAGTGCGTGAGAAGCAGTGTGAGATGAGAATGGAAAGGTAGGCTGGGGCCAGATTTTGAAGGGTCTTGAATGCCAACCAGTAGAGTTTGACCTTTTTTTTTTTTTGGTAGGTGACAGGGAGCTGCTATAGCTTTGGTTTTATTTTGTGAGATGACTAAATAGTTGCATAAGAAATCCTAGTCTGACAGAAGTATGAAGGATGGATTGAGGAAAAACAATAGCAAGAAAGCCCTTCTGGAGTCAGGTGCAATAGTTCCTGCAGGCAGTAAATCGGGGTGTTATTAATGTAGCAGTCATCCTGCAGTCAGTCATGTGAGAGGACAGTCTTATGGCTGGTGAGCCCCTCCTCGGTATGTGGAAGCCCCGAGTAGTGTCCCTAGCTCGGGGATCTTTGCGAGTCAGACTTCAACCCCAGGCTCTGTATGCAGGACTGTTCATCGAGCCCTGCCTCATCTCACCTTCACCCACAAGCATCCTCTTCAGTAGATCCAAGCCATTAACATTCACTCAGACCTCAAGTCCATAGTTAGATGTTTGGGGGAGGGGGGAGAAAAGGGAGCCTGGACCTGTGATTTCAGTGTTGTAGGAAACTCCATCTACAGATCCACATTGAGAGTTTTCAGTGAATTAGAGAGTTGCCAGGTACACTGAGAAGTTAAGTGACTTGCCCGTGGCCACACGGTCAACAGATGGTAGAGCCAGGTCTCGGTTCTGCGGCTGAGTCTCCACCCACTGTCCCATTCTACCTCTCTGTAATTAAGTAGTCAAATGAGATTTGTAAAAACGTAATGCAACCATGAGCTTTAGGCTCATAAGATAAGATACTTATCTTTTATTACAATCTTCTCACTTTATAGCTGTAGCCCCCCAAGGCAAAACACCATTTCAAATTGAAGTCTTTTTTCCTTTTTCTTCAGTCTATAAGAGAACCAAACTACGTTGGAATCAACCAGAAGTTCATTATCTTATCCTAAACTTCCTTTTCCCCAGAGAATCAGGAGAGGGTCACAAGGCATTTTAACTCACAGCAGGTTGTCACATAGGGGTCTGGTGAGCAATGTAGGACCTTTTGGTGTTACTTTGTGTTACAGTTGCATGGGTGACAGAATATGTCAGCATCAGAATCCTAGACATTATACTGGGTATCTGTTTATCCCTGAAATGCCCAATACTGACTAATTAAATGGGCTGAAATCTAATGGCTGCAGGAATCATCAAAAGCTCAATGAGTGACATAGAATAGGTGTAGCTTTGTTGTGACTCTAGCCACCATATTTGTCATCTCCCACCCATATGTATCTTGTGCTCAGCACAGTGACTGGCAGGTAGTAAGCACTTAATAAAAGCTTGTTGACTTGATTTGTATCTCACTTACACATCATGGGAAGCCAACTGGAAAATGTCCCAGTACTGCCAGTCTCTTTGGAAACACTATCTCCAAGGCTATAGGACTGTAGTCCAAAGGACATATTCCCTACACTCACCATCAATGACTATTCTTTGAGTCTGTCCATACAATAACTTCTTATCCCACTGGGTTGTACTATCCCATCACTCACATTTCTCTTCGTGAGAAAGGTATAACATACTCAAATTCCTTGCTAAAATCTAGGCAAACTGTATCATCCTTCTGATCTGCCAGTTTCATATCCCTGTCAGAAAAAGGAAATAAGTTTAGTCTGACACAACCTCTTCTTGATGAAGGCATGTTGGTTTTCTGTAAGCACTTTTTCAAAATGTTCACAAACCATCTCTTTCATGATCAGTTTAAAATTTTCCCTGGGAATCCAAGCTAAGCTCTCTGGCTGATAGTTTGCAGATTCTACTTTTACTTTACTTTTCTTTTCTTTTAGAAAATCAAAATAACCTCTGCCCTTCATGAAACCTTTGGTGGCTGTGGTTTTCCACATATTTCAGACATCCCTGATGATGATTCAGCCATCACAATCCACCAATTCTTTCAGCCCTTAAGGATGTAGTTCATCTGAGCCAGATGACTTTCATTCATCCAGGGCAGCGAGGTGCTCTCTAAGTCTCTTTACTTATCTTGAGTTTCATCTGCCTATTAGCCATTTTTGTTCTGTCCTCTCAGTGCTAAGGTAATTATTTTCTGTGGCAGAGAAAATAGAAGCTAAATAAGAATTGAACCTCTCTGTCTTTTTGTTGACCATTGTCATCTCCAAGTTGTGGTCCTATCTTTTCCTTAATACTCCTCTTTTCTCCAAAATATAGCAAGAACACATTTTTGTTCTCATTCAATTTCCTTGTCAGCCTTAGCTTATTCTGAGGTTTAGCACTCCAAACTCTATTCTTAGAGTTACCATGTAATATCTTGTTTTTGTCCTTTGTTCCCTCCCCTTGACTCCATTTTTTTTGTACATACCTTCAAAAAATCTAAGTTAATTGATTAGTTCCCTTTGTATCTGCATCAGTCTTTTCAGACCATTCCATTTCTCCTTCTTGTTGGAATTGTTTCCCTTTGCATCTTTAGAATTTCATTCTTGAGAGTTTTTTACCTCTCCTACGCTGACTTCCCTATTTGAGTACATGGAATTCTATCTATCCTTCCTCTGAGCCCTTTGAAATCTACTTTCCTGGGGCAGCTAGATGGTGCAGTGGATAGAGCACTGGCCCTGGATTCAGGAAGACCTGAGTTCAAATCTGGCCTCAGACACTTGACACTTACTAGCTGTGTGACCCTGGGCAAGTCACTTCACCCCATTGCCTCAAAGAAAGAAAGAAATCTACTTTCCCGAAAACTAGAAAATATGTCAGATTATGCCTAGCTTTCCTTTTCTTCACACACCCTGTAAAAGAATGTTCATTTTCCCACAAGATTCCCATCATTTTCATCCCAGCAACAAAATCCTCCCTGTTAGTGGGAATCAGATCTAGAGTAGAATTTTCCCCTTGTTGTTTCATCCATCTTTTGAAGAATGGAATGACCATCAAACCAAAGTAACGAATACCATTAAGCCTTTGTCCCCTGCCCTAACGTCCAATAGCCAGATCACCTAACTGAAATCAGTGTCAGCAAGGGAATTTGGCTTTCAGAGAAGGAGCAGGAATGACTAAGTACGTGCACTTGACCTTCAGGACAAAAAGAAGGCACCCCTCAGAGCTCACCTACGGGATCTTGGGTCTTCCCTCAGGAGGGAAGTTTGCCAAAGCTTTAGGAAGACATGGTAGCACATGAAAAGAAGGAAGTGGGGGGACGATCTCAGTTGCCTCTCTCCCAGTTTCCTGCCAATCCCAGTGATACTGTGGGAAAGTTGCCTTTCTGTCCTTATTACCAGGACACAAAGCACTCGTGAGAAATAGTTTGAAAGTATTAAATATTTTAGAAAATTAGCTTTTTGCGAAATGCTAGCTCTGGCAACAGAAGGAACAAAAGATGATTCATTTCTTTCTTCAGGAAAGATGGGTCGATTTCCACCAATGATGCACCACCAAATGCCTTCAGATGGCCCAGCTGCTGGCACCCGTTTCCCCAGATCTCACCTTGCAGAGGCAATTGCAAAAACCAAAGGATCTGGTGGCAGTGTGGGAGGTGGTGGTGGAAGAGGCCTAATGGGCCAGATTATTCCCATCTATGGTTTCGGAATTCTTCTCTACATCTTGTACATTCTGTTTAAGGTAAGTAGAACCTATGTCATGCATCTTAATATCAGGAAAGCTAATTGAAATCAGTTACATTCAGGCTTTGAGGATCATTTTTTTTTTCAGCAGGAAAGGCAGTGTGGCTAGAGATCTGGCCTCAGGGTCAGGAAGACTTTAGTTCATTGCCAACCTCTGATCCATTCTGGCTGTGTAATGGTACCATTCTCTAGGACTCATTTGCAAGAGTGCTTCTCTCCATTGGTAGAGGATATTTCCTCCTTATGAGCTCCCTACACCAATTAAATTACAGGTCTAGATAAAAATTAAATTTTGTTTAGCAAGGTCTATTTTTTAAGCCTTTTATTTTCCTCCAAAAATCCTTTAGCAGATAAGCCAGACAATGATTGAGAAAATAAAGCACTGGATACTTTTTCTGGTACCCATTTTTAGATAGCATAGCATCATCTTCTCCAGTCTCATCATTTTTATTGTGGTATGAGGCTGCCAGGTTTTAAAAATCCCCCAAAGCTCTAACATAAAGATTAGAGTTGTTGTTTATCCTTTGTTCTCAAAGACGACCATGACATCAGGAAGGTGATGCCATGACTTGCAAGTGAATTGGATTTAAATGAAGGAGGGCTGTGCAAAGTCACCAGCCTCACTTTCTCCTCTGGAACCATCTGAGTTCGGTAGTCAGATAGAGATCAGGATGACTGGAGATGGCCCCGGATAGGTGGGAGAATTTGGCCTTAAGCTAAGATCTTCCCCAGGTCTTAGTTTTGCCTCTTTTCTGGTAAAGATTTTAGACAAGGGGCAGCTAGGTGGCACAGTGAATAGAGCTCTGGTCTTGGAGTCAGGAGGACCTGAGTTCAAATCCAGCCTCAGATACTTAATACAACTAGCTGTGTGATCTTAGGCAAGTCACTTAACCCTGATTGCCTCACCAAAAAAAAAAAAAAAAAAAAAGGCAAAAGATTATAGACAAGCACTTCTTTCTGAAATTTAGGGAGCCACATACTCTGACCCAACAAAGGACTGAGGTACCTAAGTGAAATGATACATACATACATACACATATATACAACATATGTATGTATGTATGTATATATATGTATATGTGTGTGTGTGTATATATATATATATATATATATAAATTCACAACAACCCTGTTAGAGGGTTAATATAAACATTATACCATTATACCCATTTGACAGATAACCTGAGGGTCAGAAAAATGACTTCCACAGGGCCAGAGCCAGGTTTCAAACCCAGGTTTTTCTGTTAAGACCAGCATACCTTCCACAACAGACAAGAAAGGGTGGAAATTCCCTCTAATGTTCAGCTGCTTAGTGATCTCAGATCTTGACTCTGAGATTCAGCTTTTGATTTTAATTTACTAGACATCAAGAGATGCCTCATCCTGTGAGACATACCATGCCTCCCCCCACCCCCATTGGATCTAATAATCTTGGCTGGTTTTCTGCACTTGGCATCTGAAAGTCTAAAATGCATCCACAGAATTCACCTTTTGGGTCCTAAACATGCTTAGCCATAGCCTAACAACTCTATTTTCTTTCTCTCTGATAAAAATCTCTTTCCTTTTTGCCTTCCTTATAGTTCAGTAGAAGGCATATAAAAGTGTCTGAGCATAGAATTTAACCCACAGCCTTTTTCTTCCCAAAGAGGAGGATCCCCAGAAAGGACTTAGGAAAACTTGTTATTACTGCAGCTGACCCTGAGCTTTCCATGTTCTTTTTTGTCAGAAAAACAGCCACATGGGGACTAGATAATAATTGAAATAACACCACTTTGTAATTATATGGTGCCTTTCTTCCCAGGAGCTAATTTTATTTCATTGTCCAAGCATCCCCAACAGTTAGCCTGAGACAGAATGTCCCTTACCTAACCTAAAACATGACCTTTGCCAACTCCTTTGAGGGATCATTTGTGCCCTTTAAAATGGACCCTTCTAAACAACGCTCGGCCTCCAAGCAGTGTCTTCGTAGGCCGGGAGGCCGTACGGCACTGTGAATTGTTGGTATCTCCATCACAGATATTTCATTCAGCTTTGTCAGCTGCAGAAGACGGTCCAGCTCCTTCCTGCCAGGCTCTCTCACCATGATCCTGCAGGAAAACCACTAAGGAAGTCCTATAAATTTCTTTTATGCACTTTTCTTTTCCCTAACTTGGCTAAGAAGGAAAAAAAAGAAACCCTTTGAAACCCTTTTATTTTATGATGCTTCCCACAGGATCACAGGATTTTGTGCTTGAGGGGACCTTGAAGATGATTTAGTCCAAAGCACCGCTTCTCCTCCTTTTTCCCCCCGTCATTTAGTTGCCCTGATTTTAAGGCCTTGTTTTAGAATAGGGAGGGGAGGAACCTCTGGAGTTTCTTCTAAGGTTGTTGCTATTTTAATTGGGTTCCTGGCTTAACATTGGTCTCCCAGGCTTCCATTTTTTTCCCTTTAATAATTCTATGTCCGGTGCCTTTGGGCTTTGGATTGGCCATTGTAACCCCTTCGATTCTCAGCTTTCTTCCAAGGGGAAAACTAGTGCAGAGGAACGGAAAGCTGCCACTGCTCTGCATGGAAATCCAAATAGGAAGATCAGTAAGTATCATTTCTAAGTGGACTAAAAAATGTTGAAAATTTGAACAGTGATATGGCTCGTGAGATAGTATGCTGCTACCACCAACAGGAAATGGAGACATTTCCCCAAGGACGCTCCATATTAATCTAAAATTGTCGTTACCTGCAGTCTCTTGAAGTTTAGCTCTGAACTCTCCCAGGGAAAGCACAGTGCCTGTATTGATATTAGTTTATCACTGTAGACCAGAGGGACACAAAGCAGATTGCTGTCACTTCTCTTTCTAAAAGAGTTACTCTTGGATTTATTAGCAAGTCATGACTTCATATTTAAAAAGGGTCACCAATTTGAAGGTTTCAAAGCTGCTGTTAATAGATACCCCCCTTTTACAGATGGGCAAAAACCAAGGCAGGAAACAGTCAAGCCAGCATATTGATTAGTGTCAGCATTAAAAGTAACACCTAACGCTTCTTATTCTTGTCACTCAGGGTAGATTGAGCCCTGGCGTTGTCCCAGGCTTTAGAGTATTAAAACAGCAGTCGCTCACATTTTTATAGTGTTTTAAAGCTTATAAAGTATTTTCCTCACAACCATCCAGCGAAGCACATATTATCCTCATTTTGTAAATGAGGGAGTTGGAGGTCAGAGAGGGGAGGAGACTTGCCCAGGCTTACAGAGCTAGCCATGGTCAGTGGAGTCAGGACTCAAGCCTTAGTCTGTCCACTACACCATGCCTGGCCAAGAAGCTTATAGTTGGAGGAGAGGAGACATATGTACCTGAAAAGATAAGTCGCTAGCCAGTGACTAATGAGTGTTATGGACCGTAAGAGTGATGGGAGTTGAGATAAGGAGAAGTCACTTGCAGTGCATGTGGTTGGGGGGGAAATAAAATGTGAACGGGCTTTTAAGAATTTGTATGAGGTGGGGAGAGGGGATAGCCATGCCAGGTGGAGGGGGCAGCATGAGCAAAGATACACAGGCGGTATAAATCCACTTGACTAGAAGATACGCACTGGGCAGAAATGGAAGAAAAAGGGTTGGAAGGATTCATTTGGGTCAGATTATGGAGGATATGCCTTCCCAGTGCCCACAGTAAGGTATTTAGACTTTATCCTGCAGGCAGTGGGGAGCCATGGAAGGTTTCTGAGCCTAGATGCTGCAGACCAGTGAAGAGATGTAAAGTGATAGCCCCCTTTGCCTGTCTTTTCTCTGATAAGCGTGCCATTTTATTCTTTTTTCTTATGGATGCTCTCTTAAAAGACGAGCTTCCTAACACATTCTAACTTCATTCTACCAACCTTAAACATTCATGGAATAGTGCTATGAAAGAAATCTGGGACATTTTTCACACCTTCAATGGAAGTTTAATTGTTTAACCAGCCTTGATGGAAGTGCACTCAAAAAATAATTTTTAAAAGATTTATGGGCTCTATAAGGGGGAGCAGACCTAGTACCATATCTCATAATGCACTTAAACAGGGAAAGGAAATCAAATTAATACGTAAGAGCAGCTGTTTTTATTATAATGGAAATGACATTTTGTATCTGCTTTTTGTCCCTTCATTTCAGTTGACTGATTTTGTACAGAAAATTAAAAAAAAAAAAATACAGAGCACTTATGTGGCACTTTCCTGCTTCCCAAGCACTTTGCAAACATTAGCTAATAACATAAAGGTGTGTTTCAGAATTGCTAAAGGATGCCTGAAATAGTCCTTATCTTCATGAAGATCTAAATTCATCTGTCTAGAAAGGCATCCCAGGTGTAGATAAAAATGTAGCATCTATATGGTAAATAGTCTTTCATTTCTAACTCTGCCATTAATTTCACTTATGGGTTATTTAAAAACTTGTGTTGTTATATTTTTAATTTTCTTGATTCAAGGACCACTGTGCTTTCTTTATTTTCCTTAGAGAAATGCAACCTTTAGTGTTTAAATACCACATGTCTGCATGATAAAGATCATTTTTAGACCTCGGGAAAGCATTGTTCACTTGGGGGCCTGAGCATCCATCCTAAAGAACTTGACAGGGTTGTGTCTTAGCCTCAGGAATAGTTTCTGCCTAGGGAAGAGAGAAGGCTTTCCCTCAGCTTTCCCCTCAAACATCTCATGGCTTTCTTTTTAGTGACACGTTTGCTATCTCAGGTGTTAGATCTGCTGTGTATCGGGTCATAACTTGTTAGCCATTCACTAAAGATGCTTTTTGGAGCCTTTCTGTACTCCTCAAATCTCTGTTCCTTCTTTTGGCATGAAAATTAGTGAATGAGAGACCTGATTAGCCCTGGTTAGCTTGACACAGTCCTAGCCCTTTCAGCTGCTTGCCTGGAATTTCAGACCCAAACCAGATTATAGAAGAATGTAACAGTTATGTTGCAGAAATGGGCTTACAAAATTGTCTGTGCCTATTGGATTCTTGTTCATTTTTAGCCAATTATGAGCTTGCTCAGCTGCAAGAGAAACTGAGGGAGACAGAAGAAGCCATGGAAAAGTTAATCAATCGAGTGGGACCAAACTACGAGAGGTAGGTTTTCATGAAACAGAACTTTGCCTTCCTCCCCCATGAGAGACCACACTCAGAATTCCACCCAGAATGCTTTGAGAGCTCAGCTTCTTTTTACAATTTTCCTTTTATAGGTATGTCATCTTATCTGTTCAGTTCTACCTCATTTCTCACTTAACATCTCCGTATTTGTAAATGCAGCCACAGTTCTTAAAGAGGAAAAAAAAATATGGTCAAACTCGTAAAGAGTACTAGAAGTGTGATTTTCTCCCTACTAATGTAGAATTGTTCATAGTGCCTACCTCAAAAGCAAAATAATTTCCAGTTTTCTTTTATCATTCGGGTTAAGAAACAGTGGTGGGCATAGTGATTTAATTTGACTGGTAGCCTGGTATAATAAGATAGGGACATACTTGTTCCTTCAGAAAAAGATACTGATTTGCTTCGTCTTACTTCAGTTTTCCTGTGAAGTTTCATTCTAGGCTAGGATCCTATTGTCATCTGATGAAAGTAAGCTAGTTCCTGCCAATTTTACTAGCAAACCCAATTTGCTAATAAAGATGGAAAAAAACGACTTGAGGGGGTTGTATGTGTTTTTCTTTGATAACTGAATAGTCTAGTATTGTTAGGTCTAAAACAGTTATGTTCTGCAGAAAGAACATGACGCTGTAAAATTGCCTACCTTGATGTATTTTTAAAATAAAGTAGTGCATTGTTCTGTAGCAGCCTGCTAAGGGTTATTGAAATGATGCATCCCTGTGCCAGAAATGTTGCTGAATTATTGAAGAATTCTTCATGAAATATGGTTTGTATTTCTATTATATGAAAGGGAAATGCTGCTAGGCAGGAAAAGCCGGTGAAATGCTCTTGGGTTTGTAATATCAGTCGTCCTCAGCTTGATGGAAAACATAACTTTAAAATGTGAACAGAACAATTATAATATTGAAACTTCTCTGGGAGCTGTTACTGGAATGGAAATTCCCTGATGTGTATAAAAATCAGGAGTAGAACACACACAAGTAAATCACATCTCTGGGTTGTGTATTAAACAATAAACATTTGGAGCAATTAGGAGTCAAACTTGGACTGCACCAGCCCATCATTTCGACTCTCCACATGGAAAGGAAGCATATACATTAGAGAAGCAAGTATATCACCACGAACCTGCAGTCATTAGTGAATAAATCCTGATAAGTGAGTTAGATAGTTAAAAGCTAGAGGAGACGATTGCTTGGATATCTGAAAGGAGTGACGTTTAGTGTTTTCTATATAATTTAGTCTGATCCATTATTCATGCAGGAAACATAGGTGTTCATATTTTATGTAGTGATGACTCTCCAATAGGGACATAATAAGTATTCAGTAAATACTTGTTGAATGAAGAGAGTGATTAGGCCAACTGAACCGTATGACAAGGAGCTAGCTCGGGCCGAGAGATGCAGTGCCGTAGCGGCTTGCCATGGTGGTTAGCAGCAGAAGCGTTGGTGGGATGCCACAAATGACTGTGGTTTTCACATGAGAACCCTTCCGCAGCTCAAAAGGCTTAGGAGCCATGGCAGCCCCTTCCAGTGATTGGAGGGGACTGCCCTGTCTGTCTTCCCTCAGGAGGTTATCACCAATTGCGCGCTTTACATAGGAGCTGGTCTTCTTGCTTGCGAAGAAGGTGAAAGGACTTTCCACTCTCTGGCTTATTAAGTAGGTCTCAAAAAACCGCACAGTAGTAGAATGAAGGAGACTTGGCTAGAACACCAGTTGGGGGAAAAAAAAAAAAACCAAAAGTCAGAGATTTTAATTGAGTATTCACATAGCTCCTGCTCCTCTATTATTCTCTACCCAGCTCAGACTAGGGCTGGTGTATTGCATTTAGTTCTGGCTGCTCAGTTTTCTTTCTTTCCTTCTCTCTTTCTTCCTTCTTTTTCTTTTCTTCTTTTCTTTCTTTTTTTTTTTTTTTGAGACAGTCGGGGTTAAGTGACTTGCCCAGGGTCACACAGCTAGTAAGTATCTGAGGCCAGATTAGAACTCAGGTCCTCCTGACTCCAGGGCTGGTGCTCTGCCCACTGCATCACCTAGCTGCCCCTGGTTGCTCCATTTTCAGATTTGTTGTTGTTCAGTCCTTTTTAGTTGTGTCCAATTCTCTGTGATGCCATTTGAGGTTTTCTCAGCAGAGATACTGGAGTGGTTTGCCATTTCCTTCTCCAGATCATTTTACAGATGAGGAAACTGAAGCAAACAGGGTATAGTGACTTGCCCAGGGTCACACAGCTAGTAAGTGTCTGAGGCTAGATTTGGACTCAGGCCTTCCTGACTCCAGGCCTAGAGCTCTTCACCAACAGCAACCTCCTGAAGTGATGAGAATGGTGAAGGGACCAGAAGCCATTTCACAGGAAGACTTGTTAAAGGAAGTGGGCGTGTTTAGTCTGGCAATGAGAAGACTTGGGAGAAATGTGTGAAGGGTTGTCAATTAGAAGGCAGAATTAGTGGGGGAGGCCTTGGCCACAGATGGCAGATAAAACCACAGGAAGGCAGATTTGAGCTTGGTATGAGGAGGGAAAAGAAGAAAGGAAATAAGCATTTATTAGATACCGACTATATACAGACACCATGCTAAGTAAGCACATTACAAGTATGATCTTACTTGATACATGAGGAGTTCCCCCACACACACAATAGGAATGTCTACAGTGCAATGGGCAGTCCTATATGGGATAGTGAGTTCCATGTCACTGAAACTGTTCAAGAGGAGTGTTTGTGTGTTTGTGATGGGTGTCAGTAGAAGGAGTTCATGTAATGAACCAAATTCTTTAAGATCTCTCCTAGTAGTAAGACTATAGTCAACAGTTTAGCTGAGAGAACACTGGACTTGGAGGTCAGAAAACTCCAGCTCAGATCCTAGCTCCATCACTTAGTTGCGTGACCTTGGCCTAAATTTGCTCCATTGTAAAAGGGGATGATAATCAATCAACAAGCATTTTAAACACCTGAAGTGTGCCAGGCATTGAACTGGGTCCTGGGGATGCCAAGAAACTAAACAGTCTTTGCCTTCAAAGAGCTTACATTCTAAAGGACAGCTGGGTGGCCATATGGATAGAGCGCTATACCTGGAATCAGGAAGAACTGGCGTTCAAATCTAGCCCCAGACACTTACTGGCTGTGGGACAGCTGAGCACATCACTTAACTTCTGTTTGCCTTAGTTTATCCATCCGTAATATGGAGATAATTGTAGCACCCATCTATCAAAGTTTTTGTGAAGACCAAATGAGATAGTGATTCTTAAGTGTATAGCATGGTGCCTGGCACATTGTAAGCACTATAGAAATATTAATTATTATTACAGTGGAGAAAAGGTGTACTTACGTAAGTATGTGCTATTTAGCTATACAAACACACACATATATATATATAGATATATGGACAGGGGCAGCTAGGTGGCACAGTGGATAGAGCACTGGCCCTGAAGTCAGGAGAACCTGAGTTCAAATCCTGTCTCAGACCAAACACTGACACTAGCTGTGTGACCCTGGGCAAGTCACTTAATCCCAATTGCCTAAAAATTAAAAAAATAAAATAAAAGATATGTGGACAGATAGGTATACAGGGTATTATAGAGGGGCCACCAGTAGCCAAGGGAATCAGAAAGAGCCTCATAAGTTTTAAAAAGTGGCCCGTAAACTGTCTGGAAGAAGACTAAGGATTCTGAAAAGCACAGATAAGGAGGGAGTACATTCTGGGCAGGGGGAATAGCCAGCACAAAGGTATGGAGGTAGGAAATGAAATATACTATATGAGGAAAAATAAGAACTCCATTTTGATTGGATCATAGAGAGCCTGAAGGAGAGTAAAATGTAATTTCTGGAAAATCAGGTCGGGGCCAGCATGTGAAGGGTTTTAAATGTCAAACACAGGTGTTTACGTTTGATCCTAGCATTAATAAGGCACCGCTGAAGTTTGTTGTGATGGGGTGTGGCATGGTCACACCCATGCTTTGGGAAAATGGCTTTGGAAGCTGAGCAGAGAATAGATTGGAAAAGGGAGAGGCTGGAGGCAGGGAAACCAAAGACCAGTTAGGAGGGTGTTGCAGCCGTTCAGGCGAAAGTTGATAAAGGCTTAAGGCAGTGGTGACTTTGTGGGTGGAGAGAAGGGAAATGTAGGCGGCAGATGTGGAGGTGGCAATAACAAGATCTGGTGACTGCATAGACAGACGTATGGGGTGAAGGAGGGTGAGGGGAAACCCAGGTTTCAAGGCTGGGTGACTAGAAGCATGGTACGTCACCTTCCTCAGAGAGTTGTCGAAGGTGTCAAATGAGGTGATGCATGTACGGCATCTTGTAAGGTTTTTCATGCTCTGGAAATGTCAGCTGCTATTCTGTGAGTCTTTGAATGAATGGAGCAACTTTCTTTTTGAAGCTGTGGCCCACACAAAACATGTTGAATCCTTGTTAGAAAGTGTACCAGATCTCCATTGGCTTGCCATTCGTGTAATTCTGTGAGATTTACAAAGCTCTTTCCTCAAATACGCATAGATATTTTACATGTAAAAATGCCGTAGTGTTGCTGATAAACTTAGTAAGCTTGAAGTTTAAGGACATTTTTAGGAATTGGTGAAATGAGAGATAGTGAGATGACTTGAAGTGCTTTGAAAAACTTGAGAAAGAGATGCCTGGAGGAAGAATCAAGCGTAGGGCGTTTTGTTAGAACCCTTTCTGGCATTGCAGGCCAGGACTAATACTCCACTTTAGAGACTAATTGTGCATATATGTTTGGGGCGGGACCAGGATGATCTCCCAGCCCATGGCATAATGAACTGCATTACATAGGTGAGCCCAGCTTTTAGAAGAAGTGAGTTTGGACACCTGTATATAAAAGTAGATCCCTTCGTTCAGCAAGTATTTATTAAGTACCTTTTACAAGAGCGCTGGGCCAAGCACCACGTGAAAGATAAAGTCTGTAGAAGATCTTCATTTGCCCTTGTAGGATTTACAGTCTGATATGGGTATCTTACAGTCTAGCCCAGGGGTGGGGA